CAAATGTTTTCCCTATGACGGGCTGTATATCAACACCATTAAAAATCTACTTTACTCTTTTTTACTGTCCGGCATTTACAAAGTTCAGCAAGCATTTGGTTTTAATGTGTGTCTGTTGGAATATAAACCTTGGGAGACTGAAGAGAGCGGATCAATCTCTGACTTGATGACTGTTTTATTTCACTAATGGGATGAGTGTTTGTATTATTTGCACAGTTTGAGTGTGAGTGATAAAACTGGAAACACACACTCATATGGAGAACACGACTGTGTAGTGGATTTAATTGACTATAAAGGGACGAAGAGAGTATTACTGACGCCAATCCCTCTGCTTTAACAGACATCAACAAGGACAAGTTGCTACAAGGATAATGGAATCAGATTATTTTACCACTGCAACTCTGCTTTTAAAACACATATGTGTGATGTCTGAAAGCTGATATATTGATGCTTTTCATGCTTTTGTATGATGCCATCTTGCAACACAATGAACTTGATGAGGTTAAGTGAGACAGCTGTTTAAAGGTGCAGCCTAGCACTGGCTAATGGAAAAAAACAAGAGCGGATGAGGAAGATCAAGAGGGAAAAGGAAGAAACCAGGAAAAGAGGGCAGAAGGGATACAGATGTGTCGATAAAGAGAAAGAAAGAGGGGTGCGAGGAATAATTGACAGCAGACAAAGATATGTTCACGTAGACCAAACATCTGCCTCTGAAGTCTTCTTTAGCTTGTGTCGTAAAAATGGGTGTGTTTTTATGAATAACTGCTGCTTAAAGTGCCAAAGTCTTGCAAAATAAAAACATTTACATAATCCTATTCTGTATATAACACACAGCAGGAAAGGGAAACCCCAAAAAGCATAATCGGGTCCCTTTAATATGAATTGCATGAATGAAGTGAATGAATTTCCTTCATAATGAAAACAGGGTTATAATAGTAAACTAATACTGAAACCACAACGCGAATAGGCAGTGGAAATATTGCCATAAACCGAAGTTGACTAAAAAGGATACGATTAAAAGCTTAGTCTTAGACAAAAGCTTTACTGAAATTACAGTGTCTGGTTAAAAGACTGTTATAAATCAAATGATTCCAAAAGAAGATGATGAAAACATAAAAAAAATAATTAGGATTAGCAACAGGCCCAAATACATGAGACTGTTCATGTGTGCAGTAATCTATAAATAGCCGATTAGGCTAAAGTATATTTGTATTAGGCCATTGTATACACTAATCATTTCTCATTAACGCAAAGTCTGTCTCTGTTCTTCTATTCAGTGAGGAGGTTAGAGCCATGCACAATATTACTATTTCATCCCTGTATCATCATCCGTTATCCTCTAATGGCCCTGGCCAGCACACAGTCGGACTGTACTGTACTCAGCTAGCTCTGTGGGTTTCTCAGCACTCAGTAATTGCTTCTTCTCTGTCATCTCCTTCTCTTTCTTCACATTCAGCTCTTTTTCCTAGCTTGCCTGTTTCTGTCCCCTCTTGGGCTCCTCTTTCAGCAAAGAATGTCCCTCTTCCTGTGTTCCTCTCCCAACTTTCTCCCAGCTGCTTTCTCCTCATCCTCATCTTGTCCCCCATTTCAGTTTCTCCCTCTTTCTCTCCCTCCTCCTTACCTTCTCACCTACCCTCTTTCTCATCCTACCGCTACAGAGCACTTTGAACTCAGGTAGCTGTGCAGCATTCCTCAACATGACCCCCTGGAGCAAGGTCAGCTAAAAAGTAAAAAAAAAAGAAAAGAAAAAGTATTTCAGCTGTTTCTATAGCAACCCCGAGCACAGGGGTTCCTCTGTGTGTTGAAATTGACCGGTAGGAGCTTCAATCCTGTTAGCTTCAAATTGTAAATGTTTGTAAAGCATTTCAGATATTTTTAAGAAACTAAAATGTTACTAAAAATACTTTTCCTGAAACCCGTGAACACAGGCAGTATTGTTGCATTTAGAGTTTCAAAATATCAAAAGGTGTTGCTGTAAAATATTTGCTTAATGCAATGATATCATAGAGAATGGTTAACTTTATTTAATCAGGTAATTTGTCATCAAACTCATTGGCTGTATAGATATGAAAAGTGATGACAACCAAAGTCTTATCCAAAAAGCATGGTAAACAATACTTGTTTCAAGAAGACAATGCTGAAGACCCCCATTCCCAGCATAAATCACACTAAATACATAACATTTATTCACAATCATTCCTGATTCTATTTAATATTTCCAAGTCTACACCTATATCCAATCGCTCTGCTGTACACAGAAAGTTCATTTTATTCGGAATTTGAACTCTAAGCTGTCTATAGAGCATACATCGTTTTTTATAATATTAGGTTAAACAGTAACACTGCACCACATGTAGTTCAGACACACTGTTCCAGTTCAGAAACCAGGTGGAGAACGCCAGATGGAGAAGGAATCTGTGGAGTTGGAACAGTGATGTTTATAAAGTACACACCTGGAATAGCTGTAAATCAAGTATCCAGTAATAGCTCTCACAGACATGCTATTCATGTAAAAGACAGAAGCTATAGCATGACACGCACACACACACACACGCACGACAACACTGAAATGGTCCCACTACTTGTTAGATGTGTATCGCTCATGGGTGCTACTTATCCATTTGTTTTACTTCTCGGTATAAAAACAAATATCATAGTTATTGTTGCACTTTTATGAAGACAATAGAGATTTTAAAGAATGGTCCAATTCAAATCAACAGTGCACAATATGTCCTGATGTTTAGTCCCTCGTGAAGGTCAAGCTCCTAAAATGCTGAATTCTACATTTACCATGATTCAAATAAATTGCATCTTTCAAAAGATTCACCCTGCCTCATAAATGGTGATTCCTATCTCTGCACATTGCAGGAATAACATTTTTAAGTTTCAAACCAAGGCCAGATTTCTTCTGATGACACACAAATGACACCATCAGGGTTACGTTTTATTTGACTTTGCAAGCCCCCTCCAGAGCCCAAGAAGACATTTTATAGCTGTTGAATTTGGCTGACTAGAACTCCTTGTGAAGAGTAAACTGAACTTCATGTACTAAATCACTTAAGTTTACTCAAGCTTAAGTTTACTTTACACATACTGCAAGGTCAGGAAGGAAGATTCATCGTGTAAGAGTGGTCAATATTTAACTCCAAACTGCCTGTTTTGTTTTTTGCTCAGTCCGATGCAGTATTATATTCCTTAATTATGCCAAACAGAGAGAATGTAAACAGGTTTTTTTGCAATTAAAGATCAGACTTCCTTATGCCTCAAGTAACTGTATATTTTAGGTTACATGTAATTGGAAATCTTGAACATTTTGAACCAGCAGTCTTTATTTCCCTGATGATAAGTGGCTTCTACTCTCTTGGCAATCAGACATTGCATAAAGTGTGTGTGTAAGTATGTGTTTGTCTTAGTATTTGAGTGTGTGTTTGGTTTTCATAGAGTTCCTATGAAACATGGATTATGTCTTTGTTCCTGTCTGGAAGATAAAAGGTTTGAGGTATTTTGTGACCAGCTCTCTTGATGTGGGGGTTTTTCTTTTTCTGCAGTCTCTTTCCTCTGGTGTGTGTATCTGTGTGTGTATCTGTGTGTAGTATGTGTGTCTGTTCGCGGAGGGGGGGATTCCAGTGTGGGCCACTGTTTGTAAACCTTGGTTTACAGTTTGTTATTGCAGGTTTATGCAGAATGACATGTTTATTTATACTTGTTATATGTGTATTACACCAGGAGGAAGATGTTTATCTGGTGCTTCTTGTTGGTTCGGGTAATAAAAGCTTATTTTCTTGATGGTTGCACATACCAAACATTCAGGGAGGAGGAGGAAAATAAAAAATAACCTTTTCTAACTCGGTTTCAGGTTGCATTGGTGTGGAACTTGGGAAGAAATGTACTGAACCATGAAGAACTTTTTATGTTGTTTAAGCAGTGCAATTTAATACTTTTGACTGTTTTTAAGATTTGCTTTTAAGTTAATGGGAGTAGGCTTCATATGTATTACTTGACATAACACTACATTCAGTTGGCGCACTGAACCAAAAACCGATCCAATTTACTGTAATTTAGCTTTTTGATTCACATCTGTTAATTTCCCAATCCACCCTGTGTAAAAATATGAAGATATATATCTTCAGCTCTGCTGTTGAGAAGGCTGCAAATGTAATGTCAGAAGCTTTTCACAGGAGGGAGCTAAAGTCCCATTTTCACTCTGTAACACAACAGTCATTCATACATGAAACTACTGCAGGAAACACACATTACATAACAAAGAGTGACCTTAAGGCAGTATATGTAAAACATGTGCTTTTGCTTTTTGTATACACTTCTGATTTAAAAAAGTAATCAAGATGAATCCATCTTATTTTTCACATTCCTCACAAACCACGTCTGCAGTTTTTTATATTATTATGGTTTACTGAATTTGGGAAAGCAATTTCAAGGTTCAATATGAAGACTTTAGGGACTGTACAAACATGAATTGTGTAGGCCTGGGTAAAAGGTTAAACCTTTTTTTCACTTTTAAAAAGCAAGACCCTTCCACACATTATTACAATTTGTTCCTTTGCTTAGGATGAAACTAAAAAACCCTTCCATTAAAATCTTGATAAATACAAAAATAAGCATCAATCCCTAAAAGAGGAAAAGCAAAACTAATTTAAGATAAACTACCCTGACTTAAACATTGAACATCTTTATAACACATTCATTCTTCACATTGTGTGCAGCCAATACACACTATAACAGTGAAATGAGAAATTGTCATCTTTTGGCAAAAAACGTATGCATAAAATAAAGATAGCTTTTAATTTTTTTGGTTGCAGTTTGTTATAAAAGTTTTTTCTAATCGCCCCTGCACTGAACACTTAAAATACAATAACAAAAGTTGTGCCTTCTCTAATAATTTGTGAACACTCCCAAACACGAGAGCCTCTGTCTGCGTTTGTTAATAACGATCTCTTATCAAACTTACCCCTATCAGCAACACAAACAGGTTTTTCTTTCATTCATGTTATGTCCAGCTCTATGGCTTGAGTTTTGACACTTTGTCCCACTTTGAAAGCCGTTCCGTAGTCACTCGACTTGTCTATGAAGAATCCTAAAGGAAAAAAGTGTGTGTGAGTGATTTGACACAGCCATATTTATCAATCATAACATTTTAGTCTAGTATTAACATGAATTCCCCGACTAAAATGCACCTACTGTATGGTGGCCAGATCACAGCATATATTTTCACACACATGCATTCACACATGTATTGTTCAGTTTGCTTTTACTTTCAACAAGTGGAGAATAAATCCTTTCACATCTTATATTAGTTTTTGTTTGTTGTTTTTGGAAAATTTAAATATTTAACAGTAATTCGTGATGGTATGGTGCATCTTCTCATCCCTTTTAATTTATGTTGTCATTTTTCAAAAAGACAAAGATGGAAAGCTACTGTAATATTCAAATGGAATTGTAGACAACCAGTTTGGAATAAACTACTTGGTTTTCAAGGCACAGTACTACAACTGACATGGTTTCAAAAAAGCTTTGAAATATGTCCACTGTGAACCTATGCACAAATAGTTTTGAATGAGGCAAAAGACTGAGGCAGAGATAAGGCAGGGAGCCTTGCACGAAGATTCATTTTATCCTAAGGCAGTGGTGCTAGTGCCTTCATCCCGTGATGGAAACATAATTAGAACGCTTTGATGAATCCTCAACATCAACTCTCCGGTCTTCAAAGTGCTCAAAGTACAGAACGGTACAGCAAATAAGTATGAAACTGTCTCTGTGTCAGGGGGACCATGTAAGTTATAAATAGAACACTACAACCTCTTTACTGAGCTTTTCCTTCAGTTTTAGCCTAAGCGTGACCTTACATTTAACAATCACAGTAGTGGTGTTGCTTAAATCCAAATTGGAACGGTGAAGGAATTTGTTCAGCAGTTGTGGGGTTATTAAAAGGAAAATTGGGAGTGTAGCACAGAGCATAGAAATAAGAGGAATTGATTGTGCTTTCTAGCATATTTCTTATGAAGAAATCCGGGGAAAGTAGACATAGTAAAACTAAGAATATATACCGGGCAAATGAGGAAGATCAAGTTTTATACCTACTTAAGCAAAATAATGGCAGTCGTTTATCATAAATGACTTTGATTTTGCCTAACTTACAACCTTCTAAACAATCCATAAATACCATCAAATGAATCCGGACTACAATAATGTGACTGTGTTTCTTTTCCACTCCGTTGCCCGGCTGATTTACTGCTGGCTGTGCTCACAGACGGGACACTTTCTGGCAGGGGTTGCTGAGCCTGGGTGCCAAAGTCATGCTGTGTGTTTTTCAGGCTGTATTTACTGCTATTGTTTGAAGTTATGTGTGAAAATGGGTCTTAACCCTAGTAACAGGGATCAAATGCTCACTGGTTTGTAGGACAGCACTGTGGGTGGTGGGCTGCAGTTTTCACAAATAGAGAACTGGAAAACTAAACTGCTGGATATACCAAGGGCATTTCAGTTGATTTGTTTGTTTCTCACAGTGGAATAGATGTATTAAAGGTAGCTATTTTTTTACGGATGGTGGGACAGGAAATATTACAGGAACCTATACACTAGATTCTTATTTTGGGAGAGAAAAAGCTGTGGTGGGGGAGCATTACACTTTTTGGTTTGTTGGTGGAAAATAAAACAGAGCTAAAAGGAGAGTCAATGTTGGACTTGCATTTGTCAAGTGTTACATTTATGCCAATATTGCTCTTTGTCACTGTATCAACCTATACTATGTGACTGTTGTGTTTTCAACTTGTCCCCAAGCATTATTTATTGCTTTGGTCACAGTTTGGAGCAAATCTGAGAAAAAACTATCTTATTTGTCATTTACACGATGTCTGTTTTATCTACTCCTTGTAAATACTACATTGTTTCCGGTACAGTTCTTTTCAAGTGTATGAATCTGTCACCAGTAACATATTGGAAAGTCAGTGGGAAAGAAACTTAATTTAGAAGGGAAAAAAAGAATCTTTGAGAATCAATCATCCATGAAATTAACACAACCATAAAGTATCATGATATTATAATTTTTGCAAAGTTGCTCTCAGAATAAAAACCTCAGGTCCTGTGGGATTGACCGGATGACAACATTCCTGATTAATTGAAGGGTGGTGCTGCATGTCATGAACGTATAAAAATCTCATTTTTGTTGAATTGGCTCAGTGGGCTGTGGTTACAATGCAGAACAATGTCTAAGCACATCCATTGTGTGACATTTAATGTGTTGGATGAATAGGCACGGGGAAATGACGGGCAATGTAACCTTGAGTAAATGATTGGAGTTTTTTCCTGAGCTAACAGAAAGGTTAACATTCAAAAAATGATGTAATATCCTTTTCTATTATTCTCGGTGTGGCTTTGTGCTGAGGAAAGTAACTAAGGTCATTAACTCAAGTACTGTGCTGTATAATTTCTGTAGGCCTACAGTACATTAAAAGCTACATTTTACTTCAACTACACCAACTTTAAAAAGGAAACGGCGTACTACATCTACCACCACATTTATTTTTGAAGCTTTGCTCGTTTTGCAGATCAAGGTTTTGCATAAAAAACATGTAATAAACAAATGTCATATCTAAACCACAGAACAGTTTGAGATACAAAAATGTAAAGAAACTACCCGATTATTACGAAAAGCTAAAAAAGAATGTAGTAAAATGTAACTTGATTAAAGGGGCCCTATTATGCTAAACTTTCAGGCTTCATATTTATATTTTGTGCCCTTACTGTGACATGTTTACACTCTTCAATGTTCAATAAGGTCTTTATTTTTCTCATACTGCCTGTGGGGCAGCATGTCTTTTCACCCTCTGTCTGAAATCAGAGCCTTTGCAGACTTTTGCAGACCATTAACATGCATAGAAACCTTTAAAAACACACTACGAGAAAGGAAATACCCGAAAAAGCATTATAAGGCCCCTTTAACAATATTAAAATGTCATTTATATAATAACATATAACATTTGGAGTCCATTTTTCTGTGGAATAAGTCATTTTGATACATTTTGCTGATATTTTTGCACATTTGAATGTAGGACTTTTACTTGTTGTGGAGTACTTTGACATGCATGTATTGGTTCAAAGGTTCAAAGCACTTTATTGTCAGATGCACAGCTTTAGAGTAGATATGCCAAGAAATCTTAAATTAAGCATATAGGCGCTTTCACAACGGAGTACTTTTCCCAGGAATAGTTCCAAAAGTTCCTGGGATTTTGCGTTCACACCAAAAAGATCTGGAACTAGAACTTTTTTTCGCGAACCTTTTCACCCCTTTTCAGTCCCTGCTAGAGAGCAGGGACTTTCCTGGGGAGGAAAAGGTTCCAATTTCTGATTGGCTGGGCGAATTGCAAACCACGCCCCGTAAAACTCAAAAGAGTTTTGTGAAGCCGCCATTTTATTTGCTCGCATTAGCATTATTAGCATTAGCCCAGCGCACCAATGGAGAGAGACTAACTTATGGCAACACAAAAGAAAACATGGGAGCGGTGGAGTGATGAGGAGGTGTCGGCGCTTCTGGCGATTTACTCGGAAGGCTTCAGTAGAAGCTGCTGGGAAGACTCCCAGCAGCTTCTACTGAAGCCAGTCCCCAACTCCGGGGACTTCCGGCCGGGGACTTCGGGTGGCAGTATACGCCGTGAAGTTGTTTGCGGCCTGCCAGTAAACCCAAAGCAGAAGAAGAAGAAGTGACGTCAGCGGCTTCATTTCGCGTAATCCTCCCCCAGGAACTCATTCCGGTGTGAACGCGATCTACTAGATCAGCGGTTTTCAAAGTGTGAGGCGCGCCTCCCCTGGGGGGCGCCAGAGAGCTTCAGGGGAGGCGCAGCGTGAGAAAAAAATAAAGAGAAACAATGAAATCTAGCTCGTTAACTTCAGCTAACTTTATGCGAGCGGCAACATGGATCGATTTTTAGTGAAGTTACCTAAAGTGAGAGAGGAGACAGCGTCTGGCCACCCCAGTTGGCAGCTTTGTTTTGAAATAAAAGTTGTGGCTCATCGGACATTTATCAGAGAAAATCCCTGATGTCCGAGTGCAAGTGAATGCAGCACAAGACGCGAGCCTTGTAACCCTGGCGCGAGCGAGGAAATGTGATTGGCGGCGATTTCATTTGAACGGGCGGCAGAAAACGAGAAGCATTCGGACCCAAGTACACGGAAGGAATAAGGTATTTGCGGTCTACAATGACAGAGAAGAGACTGTCAAGTTTGGCTGTGCTCAGCATTGAATCAAAACGCACTAAAGCTTTGGATGTTAATACGTTTGTGAGGCGTTTTGCTGAACAAGATGGTAATCGCCGCATTCAGCTGTAATAGGCATGCCAACTTGATGCTCTGCTCACGGATGACTCGAGCATTAAAAACTGTTAAGATGATGACCTTACGTGTGTACATATATTTTTTTCTTTGTGGGGGTCTGCCCTGAGAAAGTCAAATAAGATGGTGTAGTGATCACTGATTCATACACTGGGGTTACATAATTCTATCCGGGAACTACAGGTTGGGGGTATTGTTTCCGCCCGGACATATATGTTGACGGTACCTCCGGGGTACCTACTGTGGGTGTTTCTCAATCGCGAGTACACTTGCTTGGTAGCACATGTCTGCCGAGCATCTTGCTTCAGAAGCGAGTCAAGAATACTTCCTGGCATTCGGAAAACGAAGTGTGGAACACGCTAGCAAGTGTGCAGGTGTGCGTCATATGAGAGGCCCCGCCTTACATCTTCCGCCACAGATTTTGGGAAATTGGTCCGTGCGCAAAGCAATAGCCGCGTTCACACCAAGTACTTTCCTGTACTTAGTTCCGGCACTAAGAGCCCTGGCGCTTTTAACCCCAGGGTACTTAGTACAGATCGCGTTCACACCGGAGTACTTTTCCCTGAGGGAAGATTACAAGTACAGTAGGTGGCGGTAAGCACCTTAAAGTTGTTTGCAACCCGCTACAAAACAAGAGAAGAAGAAAAACTGATACAGGATCTGTTTAATCGCCATGTCGGTTTTCTTTATTGCACTCTCAAGACATAACATTAAATAGAAATATTTTAAATGTAACTAAAGTGTCAGTTGTACATGTCAGTAAACATTGTCAATATAAAATAAAGTGTCAGTTGTACTATATAATAACTAATAACAATATAAAATAAACTCCCAGCTGTAGGGAGTCTCAGCAGCAAACCCACCTTTATTATATATCTTCCTGAGACCCACTGCATCCGTCTGCCATAAACACTATGCAAACATACATGTTAGTTTTGGCCCATAGTGGACTCCATGTTGTGTTGTGTGAAATGGGGGGAATTAAAAGTTTAGGTCAAATAATATTTAAAATTATATAAATTGTCATATTTGTGTATGTGCCCCTGCCATTCCCCCACAAGGTTGCAACATTGATGATAAATAAATGACAAATAAAGCTTTGCCAGTTTATAACCGATGAAACATGATGGTATCAGAATAATCACTTACATGTGATGTATAGGATGCTACACAGGTCACAAAAGATAAAGTGTCAGGAGAAATAAGCTTAATCGCCATGTCGGTTTTCTTTATTGCACTCTCAAGACATAACATTAAATAGAACAATTTTAAATGTAAATAAAGTGTCAGTTGTACATGTCAGTAAACATTATATATAAAATAAAGTCATAACAGTAATAACAATATAAAATAAACTGTCCCAGGTGTAGGGATATTCCCAGCAGCATGCACACCTTAGTGCAACGTTGTGTGTCGTGTGTCAGTATTTACAAAAAATATACCAAATAAACTGTTATTAAATGCAGTTTGTCGCTCATCCTGCCGCTGCGCCGACGCTTCCTCATGGCGCAGCGCCCACACTTCATCCTGGTGCTGCTGGCGCTCCATCTGCTGCCTGGCGCTCCATCGAGGTGAGCATCTTGTCCTCCGTTTCCTGGGCCTTGGTGAACAGCACCATCTGATCTCCACGCAGCGACTCATTCACCACGGCACGCCGGTCCTCCAACGCCTGGGCGGTGTCAAAGAAATTCGCATCCCGTGTCCGCTTTCCTAAGAGGGGAAAATAAGCAATATACAATATACAAGTTTAGTCGCCATGTAGTTTTACAACATACTAGGAATGTGTTTTTTGTATTTTCACAAATAGAATTAAGGTTTCACAAATCTGAAACTGTGTTATAAAGAATCTTTTGACTCTCTGGGATAATCCAGTCCAGATTTGATGAGTGTAGGTATAGTGGTTTTAGATCAGGACCTGGTCTAATGTGGTCTACATGTAAAAAAAGCACTGAAATCTCCCTTTTTTTTATTTTCACAAATAGAATTAAGGTTTCACAAATCTGAAACTGTGTTATAAAGAATGTTTGGCCTCTCTGGGATAATCCAGTCCAAATAAATCGGCTATGCAGCGATTCAAGAGGTTCAAACACGGAGGATTGTTCCTTTTTGAAGAGTGCTTCATGTATGCTTGAACTTTGTTTAATGTTGTTGAGGCAAGTTAAACATAAAATATGATGAATATTATGAAATAAACATGATTGTGAACATCAGTTCGATGCGTAACGTTCTTTCAAGACAAAATTACAGTGTGTGTACCTTTGCGTTTGGTTGCTGGTAAGGAGGACGACAAAGCGCTGTGATCTAGAATGCAAAGCTCACTTGTTTCCAATCCCGAGAGTTGTCCATCCTCGCCTGAAACAGACGATTAGTGCCATGAGTTAGTGAAGCAAATTACAGAAACACTGCACAGTTATTCACAAGTCAAAACGTTTTCATACAGCGGAGAATATCTAGCTAGCTAGATGTAGCTAGCCGGGGCCGGTGTTAGCCTATTATGGCTAGCATGGCTAGCTTGATCTACTGAGCAAATAAAAGTACATCTGAGACCATTATTGTGCAGATTAAAACCCCAGTGCATGTAGTTGATTTTACCTTCATCGTGGTAGTCATCGTTGGCCACTGAATCCGCCGTTTGTAGTCCTGAGTTTCTTTATATTTAGCCGGCTGTGCACAATTCCCAGGTCGAGTGAAAGCTACCGAACCGGCTTCAGTAGCATTCCCTGGGTCGCCTCCTCGGCGTAGATCTCCAGAAGCGCCGACACCTCCTCATCATTTCTTGATGCTTGCCATAACTGCTTTCAAAAACAAACACAACGCACGGAGCGTTGTGTTTTTGTAGCGAGGAAAAACAATGGCGTCTCCACACAACATTTTCAGAGTTGTACGGGCGTGGTTTGCAATTCGCCCAGCCAATCAGCACTGGGGAACTTTTGGAGCACTTTTCACCCACAGAAAAGTACGCTCTCTGAGCTGGCTCTAAAAATGGGGGTAAAAGTACCCGAGATTAAGTACGATTTTTGGTGTGAACGCGACATAAGGGGTACTCACGGAACTAAAACGCGAAAAGTACGGTGAAAGTACTCCGGTGTGAACGCGGCTATTGTGGGGATTTTAAGACCGCGAAGTCTACTCATGTGCAGACTCGATATTTCTCCAAACGGAGTACGCCGGGCTCGGTAGATTTCCAAGTATACTGGAGATTGGAACAGTACTTCGGCGGCACCCGATGACGTAGTATGCTTGAAATAGTGGCTCTGAAGCAGCTTTACTCGCGATTGAGAAACACCCTGTGTGTCCTCCTCTTTCACTTTCTCTTCTCCTCTTTCCTGCAACCCGACAGCACGTCGATTTCTGCTCCCCAATAAAGAGAGATTTGCAGCTCCGATGCACCGCCTCTGTCTCCCTTCTCTCGGCACTACAATGGTGTGTAAAACTACACTGCCCAGACAAAAATAAGTAACCACTTTGATTTAACTAGGCCAGTAGGTAAGGGCATTCCACTGGATAATAATACCCCTGCATTATAGCAACAACAATAATAATAATAATAATAATAATAGCAATAATAATTGGGAGGGGGGGCGCGGCTGTTCTTATATTCTCTGAGGGGAGGCTCACCTTCCCACACTTTGAAAACCCCTGTACTAGATAGTTCCGGAACTAAAGATTTCCGGGGAACTAAGTTCTGGGAACTATTCCTGGGAAAAGTACTTGGTGTGAAAGCGCCTAAGGATTTGAATAGTTCTTCCAGTACTGGTAGCTTTTGGTAATATGTCTAGCTTGCAGCCAGCTACCCTGTTGGAACAGATCACAGGGAATTTTACAGCAACAACTTAAAGCTGAAACCCATTTCTCTTTGACATGCACAGTATGCACACTGTGTACTTGCAGTTAACTATGAAAGCATAATTTTCACTCACCAGCAATGGGTGGTCCAAGCATGCCTACTGCGTATGAGCATAAAGAACCCCAGGGCGCTTCTGAGCCTGTTGACGCCCACCACCTCACAGAGCACGGTGATCTGGATGGCGACCGTGGCCCCGTACACCAGGCAGTACGCTGCGCTGAAAGCTGCCAGCTCTGAGAATGAGGAGGCCAGCGGGCAGAGAAGCAACACAGTACCCAGCAGAATCACTGAAGCTATCAGCTGCTGCACCTGGTGGGAGACACACATATACATCAACTGTTTTGTGCATACAGTGGCTTCCACATCCATATTCATTATTTATGTAGGCAGTACATGATTTCTTTACAGGAATAGTTTTGGACAGTGCTTAATTTCTTTCGTTATAAGTTTGCGATGCGAAGATTGATAGCCTAGCCTAAGCAGCTAGTTAGCTTCGCTTAGCAAAAAGACTGAAAGCAGGGGGAAACAGCTTGCCTGGCTTGCTTCAGCTCAAAGGTAAATGCCTACTGCATATGTGTCGGACTATTTTTCTGAGACATGGAGTTCAGGAGTGTTGTCATAACTGGGAAGCAGCATTCACACGAAACGCTAACACACTTTCACCTAGCGATACACCTGCAATTTTGTCCGCAGGATCATTTTGTGTTGATTCATGATGATTTGTGCTTATTTGGTTCTTTGTAGGGCTACTTTTATCTGGTTCACTACAATATGAACATATTTTGCTGCATTTAGTTGAAATTAACCGATCAGAAGGATGCCAAAAATCTATATCATGACGTAAAAATTCTGAACTCTTGTACCAAACAACATCCTATAGTTTTGTACAGAAAAAAACAACATAATAATAATATATATAATATAATGATTATTAGTAGGCCTGACGGTGGATATATATCTATGTTGTACTTAATATAGCTTGGCCAAATCATTGCTTTCAGATTTTCAGATTTTCAAACGTGGTTTAACGACTAAATTGAGAGTACCATCTCCACCAGTCTCAAGTTGGCCAGCCAGCCAAAGAACAACCTTCCAAACAGATCCAACGCTGCTGAGATGGACACCAGTGCAGCAGCCTGGTACTCCTCAATCCCCTTACCACGAGCATATGGAACAAGGAACAGAGCTTGGGCAAAGAAACCCAGCGCAGCAAAACAACCCAAACCCTGAGTAGACCATGAATCGAGCATTGGTTATGAGGGTATATCTACATAACGAAGGATTTTGGTGCTTAGTCCAGTCATCGTATTCTTATTGTTAGAATCTTGTGGCGTCATGGTTAAATGTGGTATCTCATCAGGGTCCTCAAGACATGCCCTCTCAGTAACATGATCAGATCCCCCGGGTATTCGCAGATCCTTCGCCTCTAGGCATCTTGGTCATCTTTCCTCCAATTCATTTTTTGGTAGCAATTCCAAAGACAAGCCTTCCTCATTGGCTTTGACCTCACAGGTCAGGTCTCTGGCTTTTAGGGGTCTCAGCAGCATCCCGCAAACACAGAGGTTAAACTGAATACCCCCTAAGATTAGCAAAGCACCCCTCCAGGAGTAGCTGTCAATCAACAGCTGGAATAGGGGTGTCAGGATAAAGGTAAGGATGCACTCTCTAGCACAGGCCAAGGCGTTAGCCATCGGACGCCTCTTCTCAAAGTACAAACCCAGAAAGGTGATTGATCCATGTCAATGCATAACCTAAACCTGTGGCAAAAGAGACCAGTGAATCTCAGGATGTGTGCATATGTTTTTGAGTTTGAATTGTATGTGTGTGTTTGATTCCAACTACTTACCATTTAGAAACCCGACAGTTAGGTAGAGTTCAATCAGGTTGCGCGAAAAAGCCCAAAACACGACTCCTACGCTGGATATCAGTCCTCCCGCTATGACTATACAGAGCGATGGCTGTAGCGAAGTTTATGGAATATTTTGAAAATTAAGGAGCGCTAAAAGAAGTTACTGATGACCTTCAGTGTATATCATTTTTTTTACAAGCATATAGATTTCAAATGTATATGAACAAGAGTTTTGGATAATTACCCACAATGTGAAAGGTGCCTACGGCAATAGAGGTAATCCAAGATGTTGCTGTTGCTGTGGTTTCAAAGTATGTATCTCAACGTAAAATACACCAAAGGCCTTAATGACACCGAAGGTCAGGCCGAATGCAAGGAAACTGGAGAGCAGGATGAACCAGGCGTAGCCACCATCAGGAGCTGCTGCTGAGGCCACATCTACCCTCTCCCTCTGAGCCTTCACTGGGACGTCCATGATGATTGGTTTCTGCCACATTTCAAATGTTTGGGTGTTATTTTTCATCTTTTGCAGGTTTAAGTAACACATATGCCTTCATTTTCATTACTCTAACAAGGTGCTTATTTTTTAGTATTTATTACAATTATAACTTACACAAAGTGGTTTTTATATAGCATATGTAGTATTGGACATTCTAACTTGCATCTGTTAGAAAATTAAAAAAGTCACACTCATACTATGAATATAGCAGTGAATAAAAAAACAAAACAACATTTTTACAAGAATGCAATTAAATTAAGCATGATGGCTGCGAGGGACGGCGGTCGTCTTTCACCAGAAGGTTGTGGGTTCGATCCCAGCCCGTGCAGTCAACATGTTGATGTAGGCTATCTTTAGGCAAGAAACTTAACCCTGAGTTGCTCCTGATGCCATGGCCAATGGTGTATGAATGTGTATGAATGTTAGTTCCCAAGAGCAAGTGGTACCGCTCTGCATGAATGAGGTTTGAACGGGTGAATGACCTCAGTATATAAAGTGCTTTGAGGGGTCGTAAAGACCTGATAAAGCGCTAAATATAAGTACAGCCCATTTACCATGATTTCATAATGTGTGAGGTTAAGCATAATTGTATCTCGGCATTAACAAACAAAAGGTAGCTGACTCGATCAGGCTGATTCAGAGTGGTAAGGCCCCCGGGCCCAGACGGCTACCCAATTGAGTTTTATAAAATATTGACCGATAAATTGACCCCCCTTCTTTTGAGAATGTTCGAGGACTCTCTGGACCGGGGAACGTTGCCACAAACTCTGACAGAGGCAGTAGTAATCGTATTATTAAAACCAGGCAAGAAAAATTCTGAATGTAGCTCCTATCGCCCCATCTCCCTTCTGAACGCGGACTATAAGATCCTAGCTAAAATACTAGCGATACGCCTTGAATCAGTCACGCCAAACATCATATCATTAGACCAAACTGGGTTTATGAAAGGACGATACTCCTTCTCCAACATCCGTCGCCTTCTCAACATCCTCCTTTCTCCTGCATCCAAGAAGACACCAGAGGTGTTGGTCTCATTGGATGCAGAGAAAGCGTTCGACAGGGTGGAGTGGGCTTCTATTTGAGGTCCTTAAAAGGTTCAGCCTCGGATCCAAATTTGTGTCGTGGATAGCACTGTTATACTCCTCACCCAAGGCTTCAGTGAGTACTAACGGGATAAACTCTCAATATTTTACACTAGGTAGAGGTACTCGCCAGGGTTGCCCTCTAAGCCCTTTACTATTCGCCATGGCAATCGAACCACTATCAATTGCGCTTAAATCTGCTAGCTTTACACAAGGAATTACCAGATATGGTTCAGAACACATACTCTCGTTATACGCTGACGATTTACTATTGTTCATTTCTAACCCTATATCTACCATTCCTCAGATAATAGATCTGTTAACCCGATTCGGAACCTTCTCAGGGTACAAGCTAAACTTTTCCAAGAGTGAGTGCTTCCCTGTAAATGATCTGGCCCTTCAGATCCCTGATAGACTCATCACCTTCAAGATGTCTAATGCGGCTTTCACACCAGCGCTTTTCCCTTTCTAGCTCCTAGCTAGAGCTTTTCTGGTTCAGCTCCGGTTTCCCTTTTCAGCTCCCGCTCTGTTCACACCGCCCAGAGCTGCCGCTGCTGCGTCATGACGTCACCGTTTACATCGCTGATTTTCTCCCCAACGGAGCTCACAACAACAACGGGCCGGGGACTGCGTCGGGTCGATGATCGTGTTGCTTTTAATCATACGAAGCCAGATTAAATTAAATAACGACTTCTCCAACCTTATACTTTTCTCCAGAGTGCCGTGGTTCATTGTTTATTAATGTGTTTCAGCGGCATTTACCGACCGCTGCAGTGCTGGCTGCTCTTCCACAGGAGTTTATTCTCCCATTAGCTCCGGGTTAGCTCACACGGCTCTAAAGTATTCACTGTCTGACTGTCACACAAGCAGCTGATACATATCCCCAGTTCCCCTTAAGTGAATGTGTGTCAGTCTGAATTGACGCTGTTTGGCATCACAACGCTGTTATGAAAGTTTCTCTGGTATAACATGGGCAGGGGCGGACTGGGACTACAAATCAGCCCGGGACTCTCGACCGGCCCACCTGCTAGTGTGTTATCCGAGCGGCCCACCTCGGTGCCGCAAGTAAATACCGCGAGGAAATTGTCGACGGGGGGGGTAGTGACTTATCCGAGCGGCCCACATCGTCCGACCGGCCCACTTCAGTACCGGCCCATCGGGATTCGTCCCGAACGTCCCGATGGCCAGTCCGCCCCTGAACATGGGTGATGTTAGCATAGCAACCGAAGCTAAACTAAAGCCGTTTTCTACAGGCACATTTTACCGGCGTATTTTTCATTATGATTCTACTTGTGATAGTCGGACATGACAACCTGTGCAGTCCATGTATTGATTCCATCCGATAGCTGCTATAATAACAAACAAAATGTCTGCCTGCTCTCCACAATGATCAATAACAGCGAACGGATGGTCAAAGTAAGGTACAAATAAACAGAATCACACGAAGCCTGGTTAGTGTTGCCTGACTTTATAAAGTGTGTTTTTTTTTTATAAGTGTGTGGTTGCCTTCTAGTCACTTTGCTCAGCGCTACTGCTTGTAGGCAGGCATGACGAGACTCTTCAGTCGACCCATGTTCAGGGGAGGTGGGTTTAGTTTCCTGCACGCCTCGACGTAAGAGAGACGTAAGCGACGCCGCGTCATAGCTCCGAAGCTCTTGCCTCTAGACCGACAATTTTTTGGAGCTGGAAGTGAACCGCATTCCGGAGCTATGACGCCGAGCCGGAGCTGGAAAAGCGCCGGTGTGAAAGGGGCATAAGAGTCATTTTAAGTACTTAGGTGTGAATATAAGTGGAAAACTCTCAGACCTTTACAAAGACAACGTCCCACCATTAATTGACAAGCTCAAACTTGATTTGGAAAGGTAGAATAATTTAAATTGAACTATCGCTGGGAGGGTAAACTGTATCAAAATGAACGTTCTCCCTCGCTTCCTGTACCTCTTTCAATGTCTGCCAGTCTTCCTACCCAAATCAATTTTTCGTAAAATAGACACACTAATCTCCTCTTTTTTATGGCAAGGGAAGACTCCTAGAATTAGGAAAGAGCTGTTACAAAGGCACAGATCTACAGGAGGATTGGCGCTTCCAAATATAAGACACTACTATTGGGCAGCCAATATCTACAAAATAATTGTATGGACTAAGGAACCAACATTGAGTTGGTGTGAGCTTGAAGCCAAATCCTGTCCTAATACCTCACTTTTGGCTTTGCTTACATCTACATTACCCAGCCGGCCAACTCAATATTCGAATAACCCGATAGTTGTTTCCACCCTAAGAATATGGTCCCAATTTAGAAAGGCTCATGGACTTTATGGATCCTCTATACATAGTCCCATTCGCAACAACCATCTCTTTCTCCCCCCTTACACTGATGGGGCCTTCTCTATGTGGCAGAGATTAGGTCTTATCAGAGGGACCTTTACATTAACAATGTTTTCGGTAGCTTTAGCCAACTCTCTGACAAATGTTGTCTCCCAAGCTCTCATCGATTTCGCTACTTCCAGGTCCGTAACTGGGTTAAACTAAATAACCCTTCCTTCCCCAATATCCCTCCGGATTCAATAATTGACTCAATTCTGGACACTCTAACAACCGAAAAAGGTTTGATTTCAAGAATTTACAATTCCGTCTCCCGTCTCACAGAAACATCTCTTGATAAAATCAAACAAGATTGGGAAGAGGAACTAGTCCAAGCAATAGATGATGAGGTCTGGGATGGCGCATTAGCGAGAGTGAACAATAGTACGTCCTGTGCCAGGCTCAATCTTATAAAACTAAAAGTTGTCCACCGTATCTATTACACCAATTCTAAACTCTCCAAAATATATCCAAATGTCACGGATACCTGTAACAGATGCCACACGTCACCAGCAAACATGACTCATATGTTTTGGTCATGTCCTCGCCTACAAGGATACTGGACAAGCATTTTCAAACACCTTGCTGAGGCCTTGGACGTGGTATTGACACCATGTGCAGAAACTGCCATTTTCGGAGTACTACCTGGCCACAGAGTGATGAGGAGGAAAACTAAAGACAGTATAGCCTTTGCATCTCTATTAGCACGTAGAAGAATACTCCTTGAATGAAAATCTTCGATACCACCTAAAGCATCTCTATGGCTTAAAGATCTTATGATGTACCTGAACTTGGAGAAGATTAAATATAACCTGAGGGGCTCCTCAAAACTATTTGATTCTGTCTGGGACTCTATGATAGCCTACATAGCTGAACTTAAGACACTAAATTAAGAAGAAAGGGGGGAACTACGAATGTATGTGTTTGTTTTTGTTTGGTTTTGTTTTTGTCTCCTTTTGTATTTGTATTTTTTATTTTTGTTGTTGTTGGTTTGTTTTGTTTATTTTGTTTTTTGCTTTGTCTTTATATACATGTATGTGTGCACGTGTATGTATGTGTACGTGTATGTGTATATGTGTGTAGGTATGTACATATATATATGTGTATGTGCATATGTGAGTATACATATGTGAGTATATGGGTACATGTATTATGGGTATTATTCTTTATTTCCGTATCTATTAATTAATCTTCTTTTAATATTATCTTTTACATTACTGTATTTGTACCTATATATGTATCTATTTACTTAGTTATTTACTTTACTAGCTACTGTAGGACCGGGAGGGGAGGGGGGGGAAAGGGGAAGAAAAAAAAAAATATTGACTGTATAAATGTAAACTCACTGTGCCTGATTCAATAAAAACTAATTACGAAAAAAAGGTTGCATCTACTTTAATCACAAATCTAATCAGCCAGCAAGTACAATATATATGTTCCAAACACAACCACTTTGATGCGTCACCGAGATCAAGCCGGCCTGACTAAATGCTAAATGCTAAAACGCTAATGGTCTACATTTACTGAGGAACTATTAACATCAGGGGTGTGTGT